AACTAAGTCAGTTATGAAAAAAACCTGTGAAATCAGCATTCCTATAGCATCTGCTTGGTTTTGGGTGTTTTTTATGGATAGGTACTTGTTCTGTGAGAGAATGGAATGGAAGTGGTATCATCTGACTGAAATACAGTGATTCCTTGTTTATAACTCTGCTTTCCCACACTGTCCCCTGGAAAGTGGCATTCTRCTTTTCCTTGTCTGTGTTAGCATCTTGTGTAAACCTGATGAGGCAAACCCTGGTTGCTTGCATCAACCAGGATATTTAGAAGCATTTGACCTTAACAAGGAATTTATGTATTTATGCAGATAATTAGAAAAGATAAATACGGGTGACTTCTTCTTAAAATGTCAGCATGTTCACATATTTTTGAGTATTTCTGAACAGCTCTGAGGCAGAGCTRTTCTGCTCTGCAAGGCAGCTCTATGACACTTATTTCTGTCAGCCTAGCGTAAGATGTAGAGCACAGTTTTCTCTGCTCATTTCTGTGGCTGGTTTGAGGAAGACACTTTGGCATTGTGCCTGCTTCACACAGCAAAGAACACTTAAAACTTTAATTCTCATTAGTCTGTGGAAATTCCTCTGTCCACGGAAATTAGCTGCTGTCAAACAGAAGTAAGAGAAAATGCTTCAGCCAGAGAAATGAAGTCCCACTTCACTGAAATRACCCTCTTGTTATCCTCAGTATTCTGTGGGGTTGGGAGGCATTGTGTTCCCAAATACAGGTCACACATTAGTTCAAGACCAGAAGTGCCTGTAGGATCCTGATGAGAGCCCTTGCAGGGGAGCAGGAAAGCTGAATTGGCACTTAAAGAAGCCCCTGGGTGCAAGAGCAATGAAGATTTTGGTAAAGGGAGCCTGGGTTTCTGTCAGTATATGAATTATGTGGGTTTAGTAGCAGGCTGTCTTCTGGGCTGGCTATCCCACTTTTTTTTTTCATGTGTCAGAAAAGGAATAAAATGCCAGGATTGTGGGAAGAAAACTTTACTATTCTCAAGCTCGCCTTCTATTTTTAACTCTGAAATTTCTGTGGTGGAGGCCTTTTTGCCAAGCAGTTGAGCGTGTCTGAATGTACAAAGACTTGGTGTCTGTTTATCTTGGCAGTGGTGAGCTGCTCAGCACAGCAGTGTGATTTAAATCTCATTTACACAAGAAATTAGCTTTGTTAGTGCATTGCCTGATACTGGGTAGGGCAAGTAAAGTCTYTGCACAACACACAAAGAAATAACTTTCACRGGKCTTCTCCTGAGACATCCTCTTGCAKGAAATGTGTGWGATTTCTTTCTCCTRCTTGTTGCATAGTCCCATGCAAAAAAAAAATCAGCTCATTGCCATACCTGGCTATTTTACAAAAATCTCCAGTAAATACTGCGATTAGAAATTGATAGCTGGTTTATTCTGTATATTAGTCCTGAAGTTTGTGTCCTGCACTCTTTAAGAGGTGCTGAATTTGTTGAAAAAACCTTCTCTAAAGGTGGCAACAGAAATGTTGMTTTCAAGGGGTAAGATGTGTATTGGCAGCTGGTCAGAAACCTGGCAGTCATCCTCCTGTGGGCTCTGTTGCTATTTGTTCGTTTCTTGCTGGTTGGTTTCTCAAACTGTTTTGAACAAAGCAGCTGTAKAGAACGGAGGGTTATCTTGATCCTGGTAGTCACAAGTCAGAAAAATGTCACCTGTAAATATTTCATGAACCTTTGTGCAACTGACCTGATCGAGAGCTGAGTAATGAAGTGGTTGCAGGAGCTGGGGCTTCTGTAACCCGGATCTTCAGGGAGAAAGAGAGCACCTTTCCTTTGCCAGGCTTTGTTCTTTGGTATTTTAAATAAGTGATGTTTGTTTGGAGCTCTGCCTTAGCAGCCTCCTCATTCTTATCTAGTTTGATTTTCTTTATAAACTTTCTATATGTGTTTTCTGTGTGGGGTTTCTGCTTCTTGCAGAAAAGGGACAGAATTCTTACTAAGCAAAAGCTTAGTAAGCTCTCCTGTCTATAAAGACAAAACTCCCCACCCTTTTCTTGTAGATTTTTGGTCAATTTTTGCASTATCTCACTGTGCTGAAGCATGAGTTCAAACCTGGCTCAGAAGAGTGTGGTGAGGAAAGGGTCTGACTCAAAAGAAATCAGAAATGCTCTCAGATGAGTTGGAACTGAAGAATACTATTAAAGTTGCCCTAACAGGAAACTAATGAAGCATGGAGACACAGCCTTGATTTTCAGCAGGCTGGTAACTGTTGAAAGCCACAATTTAAGTCCTCTAAGCAGAATGGGAAAAAGTTAGGATAGCTGTGTCTGTACTTGTTCTTGCTGGTTTTGTGGTGCTTTCCCCAGCACCTGATTTCTGGTGTAGTGTCAGTCTGTCAGCAATATGTGACACATTAGACTGCTGTCTCATGTGTTATATCAGCACACTGAATAATTAATATTCTCTGGAAAGGATTAGTTTCCTCCACTCATGTCTCTTCCTTCTTGGTGCCCTGTATGTACTGCCAGTTTCTAACAGAAACTTGCTATTATGGATTTTCTTTCCCACAAAAAATGGTGCTGCAGCACAAACACATTAGGGTGGTCTGCGTGCTGTTGRTTGCCATCATGCAAAGAAAATTGCATCACATTTCCTTACAAAGTCTCAGGTATTTGTTCTAGAAGTGTTGAAGCTCAAAAATGACATGTAGACTTGAACACTAATTGTAATAATCTGTCAGGAACGGGGCAGGATGCCCAGTTACCAATGTCTAGTTGACATTTACCAATATTGTGTTTTATATTATAGCTCCAGAAATGGATAGTSTTTCTGTATCAGAATATTTCAGTGGCCAAAGAAGTCTTCTAGGATTCTTATGAATCCTCAGCAGCYCTGTGTCCCACAGCAGCAGWTGTGCYTCACTCCCMGTGCTACAAGAGRGAGCTCCTGGGGAAGTGCAGAGGGSAGAGGAAGACAACTTTATATGGTRCAAGAAGAGTGSAAACCACTGGGAAAAGCARCGTACTGTTTASCCAGGGTGCCTAATTTTGTATRAGTGCTTTACCCAAGGGGCCATGACACAAGTATGAGCTGTGCAACTTCCTTAAATAAATATTTCTGCCTGAGAAATGTGTCAGGGTGAGAAAGTTCAGCTCAGTGCTCTTGGTCAAATATTAGTCCTTGGGAAACCCTTGTTCTCACCATGCTCAGCAAAGGAAGCTGCAGTCACCCAGTCAGCACCACATTCTTCTAAGATGGCTTTTTTTTTTGTTGGTTTGCAAAGCAAACATGGGTCTCCCTTTGGATTTCTCATATGGGCCAAACATTAATTTAGTGCCCCAGCCCCAAGAAATTGTCTAGTCCCAGCAGTGATTTTAGAAGGCTCTAATCTCAGCCAGCAGCGTGATGGAGAGCCTTTTGTTAAACGGATTATCACAAGGCCATAGAAGCTTTGAAAGGAAGAACACATCCAATGAAAACACGGATGCTCCTGGATAAGGAACTGACCTTTAAAAATTTCACAATCTGCAGATCTGGACTGGCACAACAGAATTGTTTTGATGACAGTACCTGGCAATGCCAGGACACAAGAAGTTTGTACCGCTGCTTGCACTTGCCAAAGTGAAAGCTGGTAATTCAGGCACTGGTAATTTTGCTTTGGGTTTGGCTATTTTTTTTCTAATCACAGTCCAACAGTTTAATAAATTCTGAAGCAACAAACGTGCTGAAATCACCATTCTTTTTTCCTATTTTTGTTGCTGTTGTGCCTGTTGAGTGCTGGACAATCCTTCTGGTTCTGTGTTCCTCAGAGGAGCAGTCTGGGCTCTCCTGAGTGAGGGCTGGGCCACTCGTGCTGCACAGGCACTGTCTCTGTAAGTGGATGGAAGGTGGCTACCGCAAGAGCTGAAGTCTAAAGGGAGGTCTGGGAGAGAGAGAGAACACGCCAGGATGTCCAGTTATGGTTCCTGCACAAAGCAGCTTGGAACTGTAAATTAGGGTCGAACTGACCCACAGCGCCCGGCCGTGGCTGAGCTCCGGGAGCTACAGAGAAGCGCTGAGGAATCCTTTTAAAATCTGAACTATGTGGCAGCTATTCATTTTTAAAGAACAATGGAATGTCAGTGTTGCCCCGGCTTGGCAGGAACACAAGTCTTAAAATACCAGAATTTCCCGGGTTTAWTTTTACTGCCGGTTGACGAGCGCTCTGGGACCGATCTCAGGCACGCACCAGCGTCCTGCGTGCGGCTGCAGAGAGCTGTGAGCTTGTGTTTTTCACAAGGTGCGTTGTGACATGTGCTGCTTAGACAGGTAAGCTCGGCCGCGCTATCCCTGCCT